CATAATATGCCTGTATTTGATACAATTGAAAATAAAATCAAAATAAAACGTGCATCATTAGTAACTATGCAAGACCGCTTAATTATGTTTGGTAAAACAGTTGAAATAACAAATATATTAATAACAATTAATCAAGGTTTTTATTCTCCACTTACGTTAAGTAGTTATTTAATGGTTAATAATGTATCAACATCAGTCTTTTCTGCAAAGTAATTTATATTAAAACAAAATTTCTAGATCATATAAATTTTATTTTTTTATTTAGTTATAAAGTTTCATCAGCAACAGTACAGTTAGGATTTTTACCAATTCGCGTTTATTATCATATAACACGATGGATGTATGGAAATAACTATAATCCATTTGTAGAAATACAAGATGGTTTACATCCAATTCCTCATTTTTATAAACAACAACAAGCTAAAATAAGATTTATATTTTTGGAATTCCCAATATATTTATTTTCAACTATTATTATATTGTCATTATTATACATTTTATTCAAAAATGGACAATTAAAGTATTATTCAACCATCAATAAGAATCATCGTTACGTTTTTTTTGACTTTTGACTTTAAATTTGCTATTTTACTTTATAACTAACCAATATTGTTTTCTAAATACATTTAAGCTAACTTATTACTGTTTCTTTGATATAATCAATTTAAACTAATAATATTTACAAATAAAAATTGTGCATTTTTTACATAGTAACTTCAATCTCACTCTTTGAGATTTATGGATGTTAAAAGAAATATCTGCTACGTTTGCTTCATAATATGAAGTAGTCTGTATTTTTTCAGAAACATAAACTATGACTGTCTAAACCTAGAATATGATATTGATGTGATAGATGAATATCCATAACTTTGTTTTTCTATTATTTTTCTATTCTACTCTCATTCATTTTATAATTTAGAAGTTTATATAAAACTACAATACTTGGTATGTTTCCCATGAAAATAGGTTTTGGTTGGGAATACATCACTATTGTCGACATTTATTGATAATTTTGCTCACATACACTACTAAGCTATACTAGCTGAAAACCTTTTCTCATTCAAAATAAAATATATTTCAATGGCATATACTTTTTTAAGTAAAGTATCCGATACATGACATGCATTTTAACTTCTTTTTTATCGTCTGTACTAACTGTGATTGATATTAAGAACGCTTTTTAACTGATGTAATAACTTTTTAGAAAGATCTAATGACTAAATAATTATTCATAAAATTTATTTAGTAGAAGTATGATAAAAGTTGTTAACCATATAATTAACATTGTATACCTGGAAACTATTGTGACATTGTCTCACTCTTATTCATACAAAACACAAGGGAAATATAAATTCTATACGTTATGTTTAATAAATTTTTTTTATCTATTTTATCGTTGTCTGGACGTTTTTTCATTGAATAGCTTAACAAAATGTAAATAAATAAAATATATGTAAACCGACAATTGCGATCACGTAATTAAACTTTCTCGAGTAACACTTTTTAGAGTACAGTAATCAGGTCTGAATAACATGCTGAGAAATATGATCGTATTCCAACGCGACTAAAAAAAATTGAGATACGTCAAAGGATGGCTCATTTTTTGTAAATACGTTTAAACTATTTATATCATTATATATAATCTATATCCTATCCTTTTCTTTAGAGTGTAGGTCTTTGAGAGTTTCTCGATTTATATAATAATATAAGTGAAAGGATCCTCAACCTTCCCTTTATTCGAGTCTCAAATAAAAGTGCTAGAATGATAAAGTGTTTTCCGATGATAAAGATCGAGTAATCTAGAATAGTAGCAACAGTTGAAGCTATTAAGATATCGGATTAGTGTGGGACGTTAGAATAGGATTGTTGTTTGTGGTTCGCATTATTAAGTCTTTCCGTAAGATGTTGTAAGAAACACATCTTACTTCTAGATCTGTAAAACTGACATGTTTTTATTCTGTTTCTTCTTTCTATTCCAAAAATCTATTATATAAAATTAAGTATTACAGCATACAATCACTATAAATATATGTTATTACCACGGACGATGAATTCTCATTGTAAAATATCAATTTCTTTTAAAGATGTTTTTATTCTCTAGATATCTGTAAATATATTATTCATTTATATTTAATCACTCTTTTCTTTTGTTTATAATATCAGTAATATAAAAATAATTCAATTCTATAGGGTTATGATAGAAGAATCAAAATAATAGATCTGTATGTGCAATATATGTAACTCATATTGATATTCAGAATAGACAACAATAGTTAGTTTTTATCATATCAACAGTCATCAATATTAATAAATTAATTTTGATTCTATTTTTTCAAATTTATATACATTCCATAGCTGCGTGAATACGGATACAACTTGTATCGATCTTTCTCACCTATAATCACCCATGCATTCATGTACTCACGTGTATGCGTGCACTGCTACATGGATGCATGTACTGATACATGGGTCGATGTATTGATACATAGCTACATGTATTGCTACATATTGATATGTATGAACATATATATACCCCC